TTCATAACTTTCCATGATGTACACAACTTTAGAGAAGACGGAGCAAGAATATTCCTGAACAGTTCTTTTCTTTCGTTCGTTTTCTTATGTGTGTCATTCAACTTACACAGTGAACGTGTGCCACCGACGGTTCGTTTAGAGCATATTAAAAAGTCCATTTCATTCGATATTGGAGTAAGGTAGTAATTTTAAACTAAATTCAGCGGCATAAACCGAAATGATAGGTTACTAACACAGTTAATCTATTTGCCATTGTTGAACATGAGGGGATTGGAAATCGACATTGCGCCCTCGTTGGTTATTTCATCGGCTCTATAACAAGCGCGCGCTAACACTCATGAAATAATTATTGTCTTATGAACTGTGAACCATTCCGCAGCCCGAGGCAAAAGGCGGACTATTTTTGATTACACAACCCTAACTTTTAATCCTGGGTTAATGTTAACCGGCTTTCGAACAACTCGGTCCTGAGGATTGATTTGAAACGTTATCTATAGCATTCCGTCACATACTGATGCGTTCAAGTCCATATTTTATATGCTTCAAAGTGTACCACAAAGTGCATAGAGTGTACGTTATACTTCAAACATCGTACAATTTTCTGTTTAATCGCATGATTACGAGTTTGCCTGAAGGATACGAAATACAACAACAAAACAGATATTTTTAACAGTGCAATAATAGCAGAGAGCTTAGGTTAACAGAAATAAAACAGTACTACAAACAAGGACTTACAGGAATTCTACCAGAAGGACCGAAGTAAAACTGGACGGGTCCTGGATACGCAAGCTACGGTCGTCGCTTGGTCGGTCTTTTAAACTTTAAAATTATCACGGAACCTTTATCCCTAAATTAAATATAAGCTAGTCCGTGAGCGATGCAAATCATTTGTCCCAGTGGGCCAAAGGATAGCGTAATTTGCATAGGAATTGATTAAACGAAAAAATGGAAAACTTAACGCAAAAATGGTAGACATAGCACTTACCTTATTCGGCGAATAAATGATGATGTATTTCAAAGTTTAAAGAGGGGAAACTTGGCAAAAGAAAGAAAGAAGTATACCAAGAAATCTGAATTAGCAACTATATTGATTGTGAATTTTTTTTTTATTTTAGCATTGTTCTTTGCAGTAGTCTCTCGTGCTATGCCAGAGAAATGATTCTTTGGAAAGTTGCTATCATGGTAATGTTTTTCACTTTATTTACAGGTAGGTAAACTGAGAAAGATCGCGGGAAAAGATCTCACGTACGCGTTTTGGTACATCTATCTCTAAGCACGCATGCGCCCCTGAGAAATACAAGAATAGAGTTGAACCTCTCCACAACGGCCACCTTGAAGGCAGAAAAAAGTGGCCGTTGTAGAGAGANGGGGGGGGGGGGGGGGGGGGGGGGGGGGGGGGGGGGGGGGGGGGGGGGGGGGGGGGGGGGGGGGGGGGGGGGTGTAACATGACACTTTTTTCGGAATCTACATTGTTATTATTTGTAAAACTGCATATTGTAGCATATAAATACGTAACAAAATGAAAAATACATCAGTAAAACAGATTTCAAACAGAAACAGAGACCAAAGACGCGTGGTACGGATCAAGCTTGGTAACTTGTTACAATAAGAGATGAGGTTTTGTACACGGTGTTCGTAAGTCGTTGATTAAATGCCCCTTGTCGAGAGGTTATTTTGGCAGTTGGGGCGTGCTTTAGTGGCCGTTGCCGTTGTGGAGAGGTGGCCTTTGGAGAGAGGTTGAAACAAGAGTGAATGTATGGACTGTCCGCCGGGACAAAAAAGTGGCCATCGTAGAGAGGTGGCCGTTAGTAGAGGTTCGACTGTAATTCATATGGTCCTTATCTGTTTAAGTTCATGACGAAAAACGTAACTGAGCAAGGGATTTGAGAGAAAACTGATATCGTCTATATTCCCGATCTCTCATTGGTCAACAACAAAAACCTTGAATATGTTTCATAGAAAACAGAATAAAATAGGCCATTTCCGAATTACCTTTAGCCACTTTCTCAAAGCGATTCTTGGTGCTCAACCTTTCATATAGCTCCTGATGAAAATGATATTTTGCTCTCATGCAAGTTAAACTCATTTTAATATGAATGGTTGTACACCAGGCCTCGCTTTGGTAGAGAGGGGTTTAGGGTTCGGAAATAGGCTATTGTGCTTCGTGTTCATCTCACGTGAACACTGGCTGATACTTTATCTTTATTATTGATTAAGGTTCTATCCGAGCTGGACACATTAAACAAGGTGTTGAGTATAGACGAGATTCGTCAGGTGAAAGCCCCCTCACTGAAAATGAAGTTAATCAAAGTGGTTCTTCGTCCGGAAAGCTAAACGGAATAGATGATGAAAAAATAACAAAAACGAATAGCGTTAGAGATGAGGCTGAAGTTACCGAAGGTAATGNCGGAAATAGGCTATTGTGCTTCGTGTTCATCTCACGTGATCACTGGCTGATACTTTATCTTTATTATTGATTAAGGTTCTATCCGAGCTGGACACATTAAACAAGGTGTTGAGTATAGACAAGATTCGTCAGGTGAAAGCCCCCTCACTGAAAATGAAGTTAATCAAAGTGGTCCTACATCCGGAAAGCTAAATGGAATAGATGATGAAAAAATAACAAAAACGAATAGCGTTAGAGATGAGGCTGAAGTTACCGAAGGTAATGTAGTTTTAATTTTCCTTCTTTCGCTATTTGTTTTTCTTTTTGAAACATTTTGGCGTCACATCGGTTTCATAGCAAAAGGGTTGTTATTGTGCTACTGCAACCCTATGATATGCATATCGCCCCCAAACTAGCTGGCAATTCCTTTTCTCAGCAATGCGTTCAGTTTGGACTAATTTCCAACAACGATACAATAGTTCCTTTTAACGGTCTTCATCTACACATTAAGCTGTATTTTTGACATGAGATATAATGCCGGTCAAATGATTGGCTGTTTGTACTGATGTAGAAACAACAGGAGAACAAGGCGAGGGGAAGGAGACAGAGGAGGGAGTTGAAAAGCGTGCATTACCAGCAGTGGCTTTGACGCTTCTGAAGAATCCAAAAGTACAAGAAGCTGTTATCGAAAAAGGGATCGAAGTGGCGGGGAAATTGGTGGACAAACAACTCAAGATAATTGACGAGGCTCAGGAAAAAGCGGAGCAGTTTTTGAAGAAAGAGGTAACATACGTGTTCATCTGTTTGTTTCAGAATTCTAAATCCTGATGTATGAGTTCAGTCAAGCTCATTTCCTTGATTCGCGCTCCACTCTCCTTGTCGTATTCTGCTCTTTTGAGGTAGAACGGGGTACCCCTAACACTAGACAAAAGCCTCGTCGCACCTTCTTGGGTTTAAATGCTATTTTGGCACTACTTCAGTAGGATCGATTATATTCCATCCCTTATGGTACGTCTTATCTGGGGGTCCTTCCTTGTGTATGTCTATTAGGTATGCGAAGGGGAAAAAGTAGGGGTTTTGAGACATTCCGCTTTAAAATGAGTTATGTTTTTGCACTCTAGGCTGGAGTTAAACATGTTTTAAGATAAAAGTTATCTTAGTCCCATTAAAATCAAGGATTCTGAAGCCTTTCTGACATGTTTGCGCAAATGGAAACCATTCCTGATTAGTTGCGGGTCAGTTCTGAAATAGGGTATGGAAAATCATATATATTGGTCTGAAATAGGGTAAATGTTACAAGAAAACGCGCTTCATTTCGCCAGCAATATCCTTTAAATTTGGGAGTTTCACCCTGGGTATCTGGTAGAGGAAATCTACAGAGTAAGCGCGAAAATAATTCGAATTCAAAGCAAATCGAATCGATTTCCTTCGCTTAGTATAACAGGCTATTTCCGAACTACCTTTAGCCTCTCTCTCAAAGCAAGTTTTGATGCCCATCCTTTCATATGAAATTGAGATTTCATTCGCAAGCAAATTAAACTCATTTTCATGTGAATGGTTGTGCACTAGGCCTTTGCCTTGATAGAGAGGCTTAAGGCGACTCGGAAATGAGCCATTCGTTCTTATCGTTATATTTCTATAGATCAAGTTAGACATAGAACCGGACAAATCGTGGGCAACCAATAGCCTGTATGTCCCACCAGGATATCACTTCCAATCGTCAATCAGTGATAAAGAATCCTCCTCCAGCAAAGAAGCTCCTGATGTCCCGTTTGTGTACCCAGCAGGCATCGGCAGCGTAATGATGAACGGTTGTTACGGAAAAAATTACAGTAGTACTGATCCTTGCTACAACTCAAGAGCGAAGTCGACTGTATGTTGGGTGAGTGCTATATGAGGTAAATCAAGGCAAAAGTAATAGGTCTCAGCAACATCCAGTTGCAATTCAAGTATGTGTTTAGCATGCAAATTGTAAACTTCACTCAAACGTTATAGACAATAACCCTCCACTCATAGCTTGACAGCAACCTAAGTTAGTATACCCATCTTTAATTCATTTCCACCCCCTCCCACTCCACCTCTCTTTATCTTTATCTTTCGATTACCCCCTTACAAATTTTAAATGCACTGGACAGTTTGCCCTCTGAACCAATGAAGCACATCTGGACTACAAATGGCTCAAACGATATCATATGGCATAATTTATCAAAATTTTTTTGAACAAAATTGAACGATCAGAAAAGGTTTGACAGTAAAATGCCCAATGATTTGTTTGTGTCAACAGAACCAGATCGATGGGGCAGCATTCCTTGGAGTAGGATTTGACGGACGAGGAAAGTACAGTCCTGAATCAAGAAAGATGAGCATTGTGCAAAGAAACTGCAAGAATAAAGCAACGTGAGAAAACATTGAGTGTAATAGGTCTTACTTAGTTTACGTCATTTATTAAAAATCCTCTCCAAGGCTTGTTTACTAAAAATCTCTTTCACACCTTTGGCATCTTTGCACAGATTTGGTGTTTTGCTTTGTTTTTGTTTCTGTTTGTTGTTGGTGTTAGTTTTGCTGCTGGGAGAATTTGAATTGACCAATCAGGTTTCAGCAGGCGGGAAAAATTGTACTATCCTTACGCGAAAACGTTGAAATTTTGTCGACCGCACCCATTTTTTTCCCCAATAATTTGGAGTTTTTTAAGTCAAGAATCCTTTAATGTCCTTCTTTTAGTCTTCTCAGGAATTTAATTATCCATTTATCTCTAAACTTTCCTTCCAAAACTTCAGAAAAACGATAAAAACGTCGCATTTCGTGGACAACCGACAGCCACTGCACTCTAATTAACAATTACATTATGAGCTCGAATAATCTAATTGTTTTAGTAGACTTCTTACTAAAATGTACTTCAAATAACGGTTTCCAATTATTTCTTGCCTTATTATTAAACTTTGCGCCTAATAAAGATCGCTCGGATTGAATTGTCATTTAAAATTGAAGTTGTTTGCACGCGCGCATCAGCTTTTTCAATAATTTCAACTTTTTTAAATGTCAAGAAACCGTAAATGTCCTTCGTTTAGACTTCTCAGGAATTTAATTATCCATTTG